AAAAATATATATATATATATATATATATATATATATACAGATAGATAGATATATAGATAGATAGACAGACAGATAAATAGATAGATAATTTTAAATAATTAATGGATTTGTTTTTAATGCAACATATTTATAACTTAATATTTTTTCGTGTATACCTGTGTCTGAATAGACGCCGCGTTTTTTTCAGGTCGGTAGACGTAAAACACACTTTAAAAAACAAAAAAAAAGGGGCGTCATCTCAAATACGGTTATCCGTTAAAATTAATGTTTGAATTAATAATAAAAAAAAAATGTGTGTGTGTGTTACAATTTTAATTAAAGACTACAGACAAGGAGATGTTTAATTCGTAGTCATAATTTCCTACTTGCAGTACAAGAAGCCGCGTGGCTGGACCCAAACTTTTATTGATCGAGCACTTTCGTCTCTCCTTTTGTCCATCAACACTATTTTGGGATATTACCAATTTTTTAATTTTAAGATTTTTGGTACAATAATTGCATTCACTGGATACATATAGTGATTTACTAAACGTAGCTTAGTCATAGCACAAGGCCGAAAACATGGAGCACACAGTAACGATTAAACTCGCTACTCAGTCGTAATTGATATAACGTGGCAAACTGGCTAACTATTACGACACGTCGAAATGCCTCTGACTATATACATGCATTCTTTGGTACTTAAATAAAGAGAGTTAACTTTAAAAACAAAAATCTTTTCTGCTGTCGTTAATCAAATTTGTAATAATGAATGACGACTGAAAGTCATAGGCATATTATTCATTGAATTTGCTAACATCTAAGATTCTTGCCGTCTTTTTCTATAAAAAATATCTCCCGGTCTTATATGTAAAGTTAAAGATTATGGTGGGCTAATGTTTACCCAGACGCATTAGACTAAAAGTACTTATACTACGTCTAACTACATATCATTTTTATAACATGCCACTTCATGACGTTAGCGTTCATAGCTATCAACAGATTGACGTTCTTTATTATCTGTGAACTGCGATGACATTTCTCGAAAAGACTGTGGAGCGGTTTCTCATGGCCTACGTTTCTGAATTCAGAGTAGTCTTTCTCTTAGACTGGTGGCCACTCAAGACGATAGAGTTGAGTCTACTCTGCTATTCAAGTCATTATCGCCGATAGAATAGAGGCATTCATGGATAAATCTGAAGGCTATTTGAGAGAAACTGAATGCAACAGATTAAGCAGGATTTTGAACTTGGCTTACTGATTCGATTGTCCGAGCTGCTAACTGTTAGATTATAGCGCAATCACCCATATATATATATATATATATATATATATATGTGTGTGTGTGTGTGTGTGTAGATGCGTTATATATATATATATATATATATATATATATATATATATAAGAGAGAGAGAGAGGTACCTTAGAAAATACTTTACAAAGCGAATTTAAATTGATTGGAATCATTTTTGTTAAATCACTAATGTTCGCCATATTCACGACATAATGCTTTTTATTAAAAAAGTTAGATATACTTTTCTGATACTTTGAAAAATAAAATATACTTTCTGAAACCATATTTGGGGAAAATTAACTAATTTAAAGTTTAATGAATCTGAATTGGAACAAATATTGCTAATTTAAAATATTGCACAGAAGAATTTTTTTAATACGTAGACAGGTGTTTGCATTAAGTCTTGATAAATTTATCGATAGCTTGACGGTTGACATTTTTAAGTAAAGGGCATTTAACTGTAAAAAGTAATTGACGAATACAACGTGAATGTTGATCTTTAGATAATTTTTAACCATCTTGTAATCTTTAAAACTTAGGAAATATTCTAAGTAATCTAATATTTTATTGTATTCTAGGTAATTTGTCTTTAGTCTTACTTACAAAGATGCTTGTTGGGAAAATGTTAGAAAATTACCAATAAATTTTAAATTTACTATAGTTACCGGTCTTATTTTCAAATAATATCGTATATGGACTCAGTCTCACACACACACGCGCGCGCGCACACACACACACACACTTCAAAATTCTTTAAAATAAATTTTTCCATTTATGATTATTAAATTGCTTTTACTAAATAACAATATGACCTTTAAAATTTTATTAATTTTTATAATTAATATTTAAAAAAATGAAAATACTTGTAAAAAATATTTTCTTAAAACAGTAGTGTTCATAAAATCTAAATAATGTCTTAAGTTTTACTATATTTTTATTTTACAATTAAGAGCAGATTTATTATAACTGGACAGTACTGTTTATTGATGATTTAAATTCTCCAGTGACTTGTGCTTATAACTAGTGTGAACATTAAGCTCTACAAAAATTAATTTATCGAAATTTCCTAAAATTAAATAAGTTGTTTGGGTAACAGACGTAAAAAAAATAATTTACAAAGATTTTCTAAAGAAAGAAACGCGTGTCTAAAATAGTTTCAGTCAATTGTGAATTAATACTGAAACTTTCATTAAACTCCGACGATTGTTTGCAAGAATGTTCAAATCAATGTGATTTTCACAGCAAAAGGACGCTAAAATTTCTCACACTAATTTATGGTCCCCCTTAAACATAGGGAAACATAGATTTTAACCAGAATTTCGAAGGTTCAGAAAAAGATAAAAAAGTATAATTTAATAATCAAAAAATCCTTTCGTCTTTCCTCTTAATTAATAATAACAAAGATTTTGACGATAAAACTTTCTTCGGGGTATTGGAGGTACCTATAACACAAACACACACACAAACATATATATACCTTCCACATAATATTTCTACATCCGAACATCTCTAAATTGTTAACGACAGGTAAAAGAATACACACACAGATACAACTCACTCATACACACATGCTCGGCATGTTTCGTAGTTTGAAAGCACACCTCAGTACACCTTCATCGGGATATAAATTTCTTCAGCTTTCCCTCCCCACCCTCCCCTCTGTTCCTACCCAATACTTACGTCGCCACCCACTTCCCCACACCTATTTACTTCTTTTTTTTTTTCTCCTCCTCCATCAGCGCTACAATTTTATACCTCACCTCGACATGACCGGCCCGGCAGACAGACAGACAGACAACATATTAGCAGGCGCCAGTCAGATTAATAGCAACAAACACACACGCGCATATATATATATATATATATATATATATATATATATATATATATATATATATATATATATATATATATATATTTGTATCGTGGGTTTAAAGTTTACTTACTTTACATGCTAAGCAACTGCTACCACCACTGAGCCTACGATAAAACCTCCTACTACAACTATTTCTCATAAGATTACCGTTATTACTGCTGCTACTACTATTCCTATAAATATAAGTCTTCCTCTCCCTCCTGCTTTCTTTCTCGTTTCAAATTATTATGTAGACGAGAAGCGAGGAAAGTGCTACGCTTACTGATTCTACCTCTGCCCTCTACTCTTATTACTACGACTGCTGCTGCTGCTGTTATTAACTCCCACTATATAATACATCCATCCTCCTCCTCGAAGTCCGGATTTTTTTTTTATTAAAAAAAGAAAAAGAAAAAAAAAAAGGCACCCCCATTAGAGCTTCCTCTTTCGCCCGGTCTTTCCCTTCATCCATCTCATTCTGAAGTCAGTCAGTCAGTCGGTCGGACGTTCGTCCGTACACTCTAAACAGGCACACATACACAAGGCGAACCGACCTTAACCCAACAACAACTACACAAACGCTTTCCTCAAATCAAACACATATCTACGATTGCGAGCTGTTCATATGGATTTTCGCTATGTTCTTTTAAATTGTTTATTTTCAGACATTTTTATTATGAACAAAACAAAATACTTACTTTTCGACCATTAACTTGAATTACATTTGGACTGGAATTACTCTCACTACTTAATTTGGTTTCATCACCAAAAACCTTTCTCCAGGTATATATATATATATATATATTATATATATATATATATATAAAGAACGAAATCTATATTCACATTTCTGGATTTTTTTACAACTGAATCACACATGCTCGGATCTAACCTGAAGTTAAGCTGGCTATGAACGGTTTCACAAATGGGTGGAAATTGTCCCCACCTTGCTCCTTGTTCTATTGTTTTGACAGTCCTCCAACTGTCGCCGAGGTATGTCCTTTCTTTTTATTCACCGTCAAGCCATCAACTTCAACAAAGTTTAGTAATGACGACTACTGTTCTGTTTCGACAATAAGGAGATACCATGATAGACTGAAAGTAAATGCTCTTCCAGACAGCGGAGAAAATACGCATGTAGGCAGCAAAAGTGAAAAGAAAACTAGCCTTCAACGATATAGAAACACACAATCTATATCATGAGTTGATCTACTAAGAGAAGGATGTCGATTAATTTTATGGTGAAAAGTTTGTACTATTTATCTTATACGCAAACGAAATTGTCCTTTCAAACTCATACAGTGAGTTCGAACCTTACTGTGCGCTACTCATCAGTATTATTCTATTATCAAACTCCATTTCTAAACTTAGTAAATCTCTGAGAGGGAGGTGCCCAAGGCATTTGCAAAAATTTCCTGGTTCCCTAAAAGAAAAAAAAAACAACATAAAAATTCAAATAAATACACACCATTTCACGCATGCTATGAGTTCGATCGTAACTGTTTTCTTTACAACTCTGGCCTTGTTTTATATCCAAAACAGACACGTTACGGTTAATGAATGTATATCAGCTTCTAAATATCCTGCTTTGACATACAATAGAACATTATTTCCTGTATAATATTTTTCTAATAGTTCGGCAAAAATATATTTGGGGGGTAACCATATATGTTATTTAAATGTTGTAAGTTGTTAAATAAAACGATAAATTTGTCGTCGGATAACTAGCGCATGCTTTGAAATTTTATTTAAATATTGAAGAATTTTAAAGTTTAAAGAATTAAATTTTCAAAATGAATAGTTCTTACGAAACTATTAATGAGGTGGCCACAATACCCTTTGGCCTTGTCCTGGCATCTCGCACAAATCGGATGTCCAGTCAGATTGCTACCACCAGTGGAATCCCTGGTCAGCTAAGTAACTTTGGAATTGTTTCCGGCTCTGCTGCGTCCGACTCATACGGCCCTCAGGCCATTAACGATGTTCTCATGATTTCTCCTGGTAACCAAACTGCCCAGTCGGTTCACATCGCCACTCTAGCAGTGTGCAACGTCCTTATTGGCATTGTCGTGTTGATGGGCTGTGTGGGGAACGGGGCTGTTATTGTCCAGGTGATAACAAACTGTAACGCTCGTTACGGGTTTGCACCTCTCATCCTAAACCTTGCTGTTTCCGACTTTCTTATCTGCTCATGTCTCTCTCCAGTCTTTCTCATTTTCCTCTTCCGTTCGCCACCCACCCCCAACATTTTCTGCGGACTATTCATCTTCATGGGGACGATATGCACATTGTCCTCTCTACTAACAATGACAGCGATAGCTCTGCATCGATATAGACTCATGTCCAGTTCGGCTGGTCAGCGTTATCTCAGCATCCCTATTTCGCTGCTGACCTTGGCCTTCATCTGGGCATTGGGCTTCTCTGTAGCCCTGGCCGGAATCTTATACGTCAGCAGTAACTGGAACGACCCTTTCCAAAAATGTGAGCTAATAAAAGTGACGAACAACGAACGTGGCGACCTTTCTGATTTTGCTATCTCCTTTCTAGCTCCCGTATGTGCATTGGGATTCATCTGCACAGCAACCTCTTGTCTTGTTATGTTATGGGTCGCTCGACTCCCCACCTGTTGGAAAAATGCTTGCGAGTTCTACAATGCAGAAGCATCAAAGTCTGATCAAAAACCGAAAATATCAGAGGTCATTTCGAATAGTTTCAAACAGCTGATTGGTTGTTTTTCTATGGTTGACAAGGAAACTAGAATATTGTATTTGGTTGCGATCTTAGTAGCATCCTTCTGTTGGGCCCCTATTTTGATTGCCCACATCCTTACCCTATCCACAGGCGAGTCTCTGGTCCTGTACCAGCTGAAACTTTGTGGTATTGCTCTTGTCTTTTTGAACAGTGCTCTCCATCCATACATTTACACGGAGCATGGTTGGAGACTTAAACATCGATACAGGGTTTGCTTACACGCGGCTTTTGACTGTCACCGAATGTCACCGGCTGACCAATGGTCATTAGGCGGTGTTGTAGCAGCGAACGGTACAAACGCAACAGGCCCAACCGTTCAGCAGCCGTCAGTTGTGTCCGTGGGAACGGTTAATGATGATCTTGACACGATCAGTCTGGACACTGCTATTCGGACCATGACGACAATGACAGTTACCGGTGGTGTTGTAGAAACAAGGATTTGCGACTGTAACAAAAACGTTATATGTAACAGGAGTCACGGAGATCTTACTGTCAACGCAAGCATTAACAAAAATATTGTTAATGACGGCGATCAAAATAGTAACGAATTGGATGCTGCGTTTGCCGTCGAGATCGAAGATAACGACACACTTGATAGCGGTATCGATCGGGACGCACTAAGTGAGGTCGAAGATATCGATAATGAGGTTGACGGCTCAGGCGATTCGACTAACAAACAGAGTTCTACTAATCGACAAATATTCGTGACCAAGAAGAGCGACGAGGATGAACTGCAGAATTATGTGGGGTCGCTTGATAGCCTCATCCTGACCGACGGTTCGTCAGAATCTTCGTTATATTGCGCTGATGCGGCCGAAAACCTTACCGTTGCTCTGCCTCCACGAAATTCAACCCCTACAGTGCCAGCGACGGTATCCGTTGGGAGCCGTAGAAAATCAGGTGGCGCCATCATCGCTAGACATTCGCCCTTGTCATCCTGGTCGGCCGCGCCGCTCCACCGCCATCCACCAGCCCCGCCCACCTCTCCGACACAACAAAGACATCTGTACCATTATCACCATCTCCACCATCATCATCATGTGATATTATTTCCTAACAATGGTGACTGTGTTGGAGCGGCCGACACTGCTACCCTTCATCGACAGTCTTGCCACGCGGCCGGTTGTCGGGAGTACGAACCTGTGAAAAAAGACGCAGAGGTGAAGGAGGAAGAGCAGCAGCAGCAACTTCAAGAAGATGTAAAATCTGAGGTAACAAAAGAAAATAAAACTTTCTGTGGCCACCGAAACTGTGATGAAGCTTTTCGACAAGAGGTGGCCGTTGCCTCAGCTTCAGGCAACAAAGCTGCTGAAGTTCTTCTTCGGCTTCTGAATATCGGAGAAAGGTCCTCGTCTTCATCACCGGCTTCACATCCATCATCATCTATCCAACCACCCCGATCGTCTCCCCCACACCGGATCGCTTCCCGCTCCCCTCCACCTTGCACTTGTCCATCTCGGTTGACTTCTCCATTATCGGCTGCAGTTATCAATGACCCAGAGGAAGACTGCCCGGCCCAGACACCGCTCATTTCTTATTGTGCCCAACACCGTGATCACTCACAGGAAGGTCCCCACTCTACGGTACACCATATAAAAGGGTCGGAATACTGGTACCCGAGTCATGATGACGGCGTTTTTGTTACTGAACACTCTTACCCGGATCCTCAACACTCGGTCCTCCAACCAAATCAAACTCCTTATCATCAAGAGCAATGTAAATTCTACCCACAAAAACAAACATACACTTATAGCCATCACAAAGCACCCCACGAACATACGCAAACAGAGTTACCCTCACGACAAAAAACTCACAAGCACAATCGAAGCAGACCAAACCGGTAGATAATCTGAAAAAAAAAATAATGAAATGAAAATGTCCCTTTGTTTGGACTGAAAAAACAAAACAGCTGCAAATTATTTGGTGATAATAACCCCAACCCCCCGAAGATAAAAATAAAAACATTTTTATCTGTACGAAGGTCACACAAAGTTCGGGTCAAATAATTACTACTCGTTGATCCAGTTTTTCGGCCTCCTGTGGATGGTCAAAAAAATCGAGGAATATTCCTTGACCAGCTTCTGTTTCTATGGTGAAACCATCCATTTCCTTCTTACACACACACAATTCCGTTAAAAATTCGATGAACAAATAAAGTATTATCCTTGGAGTTAATTCGCATCGGATATTTGAAAATCAGGAAGCAAGAGAAAGTGAGATGGGGCGGAAAGAAAAGGTAAAACCGTAGAAAAACGATGTTTCAAAATTTCGCTAACTTAAAATTTCAAGAGTGGATCAATAAGTCTGTAGCCTGACAAGTTTATCAACTAACTTTTTCAAATTCTCATTCTATATATGTGATTAACTGAAAAGTGTTCGGTTTAAGAGTATTGAAAAGAAATGAGCTGATGTTGGAAAAAAACAAAACAAAAAAAAACTGGAGATAAAATAAAAATGCTTAATTATTTTATCTTAGGCTACAGACTTATTGATTTACCTACATAACATTATGTAATTAAACATAATTTATTGTGCGCCAGGAACTCTTATAGAAAGGACGGGAATCATTTTTTTAATATTTAAAAAAAAAAAAAAAGAGAGAAATCAGCTGATGAAAAATTTGCAGGAAAAGAAACGTTGGTTTGTAAAGGAAACAACAGTTTGTATGGTCATCGGTGACTTTATCTTTTCTCAATAAGATGATCTTCAATTTACAAAGTATAAAAATTGCAGTGGAAAATATTACGAATGAACCTCACTCTCAACTCTTAGCAATCATATTTCCCGCGAACCAATTGAGACTTATTTTTGCATGAGATTTATTTCTATGGATGTTGCTTTTTCTGGAAATGGCAATTTCAACATCAGGTGATTTCCAGCCTTTTTCTTTTCTTTCCTTTTCTTATTTCTTTCCTTTTCTTCATTCTTTTCTTATTTCTTTCCTTTTCTTTTTTGTATAAATGATATTTGTAAAAGTCTTGGCAGTTCCACAAAAGATATTTATTTATTTAAAGTTTTGAAGCGTCTGTTTTGTATTTTTTTTTTTAAAAACGAAAAAAAAAACTGTCTCTAAAACAATTTATTCAAAATGGATGATTAAAAAAAAAATGAATTCTAAATGAGAAACTGATGAAATTTAAAATATAAATTACAATCCAGAATTTATTCTTCTGATGTTGTCTTTTTTTTACTTTTTGTCTATTTTTTATGAGACCGTGTCTCCGCATAGGAAATACGGTCAGAAAAAAACATTCATTTTTTTTTCCAGGAAATGTTTTATAACAAAATTTGGTGGGTGAAAAATCGATTCATATCCTAAGTTAATCAATTTGTCTGATCCGGTGATTGATATCGAAAAATTGAATATTAAAAAAAGCCCAAAAATAACTGATGCTAAAAATCAAAGGGAAGCATTTTTGACTTTTGATGAAGTGGGGTCAGTAGATTCTATTTGTGTGTTCCGTTTATGGGTTTATTTTGTTTGAGTTGTATAACATTCGTAAAAATGACAGGATTGTATGTGTAACATCGATTTAATTCTCAGTCCAGGGTGCTATTTCTTACGAAGGACCATTCTATTGAAGTAGTGCCCAAAGTGTCTCTATTCAGCAATTTAAGCTAGAATGTGCCCTGTGAAAATTGTTACGCAAACACATGTATGTAGTGATAGTGCTTTTTTTTGTTTTGTTTTTTTATTGAACCCTTGTTTTTTTTTGTTTTTTTTTTTTGGGGCCGAATTTCTGACGTGGAGTCAATGCTTCATTTGATCACATTTGTTTTAAGTCTCTGTCGAAATGCCTTTAAAAATAATATTATTCAATATTATTTAAAAAAAAGACTGAAAAAACAAGATGTTGTACAATAGTCACTGCGATCAGAAATAATCAATTTTTTTCTCAGTTTATTTTATATTACTATATACTATATAGTAATATAATATATATATATATATATATATATATATATATATATATATAATTTTATACACGGCATATTGTAAAATCCTTGGCTTCAACGTCGTATATTTATTTTAAAATTATATAATAATTTTTATGCTGTGGTTGCCTGTGTCATGAAAACTATTTTTTCAAGTCCCCCATTTACGGTTAACTTAAGGTTGAGAAAAGCTGCTATATAGTAAAACGCTTTAGATAACGATTACTAACAAAGAATATTTTTATAAAATGTAATTGTGGGCTCCAGATTTGGAGTATTTGATCGGTAGTAACATAAAAGAAGCACGTCATATTGCTAATTAGAATTTTTTAAAATGTATCTTTTACATTTTAAGAAGTCACGTCATATAAGCTAGATTTTCTATAATTTTTTTGCCTGTTGGAGGTCAATTTACATAGCAAACTGGACCCCACTTTCTCTATATATATATCTTTTCGCAAAGTGAACTCCTTCCACTCAGCTTTTTATAATTCGCAATACAAGTTTCTCTCGCTATACAAGTTTCATTAAAAATTAGTGTTCCTGATCAATCCAAATTCATTGGATATACAACAACATGCCTAACAAGAAGACTCACTTTGCATCTTTCTGACAATAGCTCAGTCTCATTTAAATACACATGGTGACCTACCAAATTCTATCCGTAACATACTCGTTGATAATACAAATTAAATATATCATCCACATGTACAAAAGGCTAAATATAATGGAAGCATTATAAATAGAAAAGAAAAAAGGCAACACTCAATATCACCTATGAAAACAAAACATAAAACGATCCAGTTAAAAGTAAAAATATAAAATCATCCTTGATAATGGCTAAAAGTATAGACAAAAGCGCTCGGACATACAAAACATTCAGACAATTTTTACATAATTTACGCCCTCAAAAAGAATATTATAGGAGCACAAGAAAAATTAAATAATAAAAAAAACAAACTTAACCACAGTCTTCAGTCGTTTTTAATGAAACTTGTATAAAAGAGGGATTGCTGCCCAAATACACAATTTTTATATTCGTGAAAAAATCGAAAAAGAAAATTATTGTCGCAGTACCTATTGTCACATTGTGCAACTCTACCTGAGAATTAAGGATTGTTTCTGGAAGTAGAGATGATACAAAAAAATACCACCCGAAAAAATAACAGACGTCATTGGGTATATAAAGAACTGTTTCATGACATTGCTAGGTATAAAGAAAGTTTTTTTTTTTTTTTTTCTATGCAACGAATCAAACACCGACGATCTGGCCTGTTTTTTTTTTGTTTTTTTAATTGCGTGTTTCTTTATATTTAAGAAAGATAAATATGGCGCGTATATTACGAAAAATTTACATCTCTTAAAATCTCAGGTATTTTTATTTATTATCACTTGTATATTAATGAGGATATTAATTGAACTTTCTCCCCCAAAATATCGTACGAATTCACTGAGTATCTTGTAAAATTGAGAAATTCCATGTTTTATTTTTAAATAAATAAATAATAATGACTATCGTCCTCATCATTGTCACCATATTTATCACAACGCTCCGGCCTTCTTCAGGTGGTTGGAATGTCGAACTGAACCCTTTATTTCGCTCGCTGGGGCAGACTGTTCTAGTGCCATGTCTAATGGATGTCAGTTATCTCCTGTTAATTCCCCTCTCCAATTTCTCTACCAGGTATTGAACTTGCACTCTTTGGGTCCTGTCACTGGAACTAACGCCTTTATCCACTATGCCATCATCTCAGAAATATAGAGAGATAATAATAATAGTTTATTTATTTTGATTTGCATATACGCCATCATTTACTTTCAACTAAGAAGACCTAAGTTAAATGAAGGATTTTCTTAAGTTATTTATTAACGTTTCTATGTAGCATAGTTGACACTTGTTTTGTTTTAAGCTAAGTGTTGATTGAAGTGAACAACCATTTCGAATTATCCGCGGGTGGTGCTTAATGTTTAGATCGGAACAGTACCAGTAAAAACATTCTTCTTCCATTATTAATAACTGATGGTTTACGACGGTTTTGTTTTTTTTGTTTTTAAACACTTCACCCCAAGCAAGGCAATGATAGAGGTACTGAAATTGAGAGGATGAAAAGACTTTTTAGAAGGAACCGGTCACCCACTCCTAACCAGAGAACATGCGATAAACCTTTTTACTCCCGTTTAAAAGACATAGGAGGTTAAGTGATAGCAGGTCTCTTTAATATTCCAACACTTTTCTTCACGCTTAAATTTTGGAGTTGCTTTCAATAATGCTAGATAAGCCTAATTCTTTACACAATTTCCAGTTCTTTTATTATTATTATTATTCTACACATTGAATTTTCAAATATTCAGCAAATCTCCTCAATATTCCAGGACACTCCTCGTTATCCTACATTTAACTAAGTTTTAACGCTGGAATGTCTTGGTCCTTCTAAAGATTTCTAGTCTCTGGGCTCTTAGACAGTTGCTAAGGCTCCTACTGTGATTGGCACTATTGCCATCTCCATATTCCATATTTTCTCAATTATTATTACTATTATTATTATTATTATTATTTCAGTATTTTTCAGACAGCATCTAAATTTCTAGGAATTGATGCATGGATATAAGGCCACACTCAGCAGCCTTAAGTTTAAGCATGCAATTTTCCTGTTTCCATTACTTTTTGGATTATTCTTGCCATTTCAAAGAGGCTTCCGTTTTACCACACATTCACTGGGCAATCAATGCCAATTTTCTTTATCGATGATTCCATTCTGTCCCGTTTTTCTTCTTCTCATAGTGTTTCTTCCCCTATTAATGTCATTAATTCTTGGCTTGCGAAGACGCGATGTCTATGATTTATAATTTTTCGGCTTTTAATTTATGACATACAATGTCTCATTTTAGGTCACTTAAAAAAAAACCC